TGAAAAAATAGGATGGAATAGAAGCTGAGACTTAAAGACATAAAAGTAGCCCCACAGAAGCCAAAGGAAATCGGTACAGCCATGTCAACTGGTGCCTCTGAGTGAGCATACCCGTGGCTTCCTCCTCTTAGACAGCTGGCCTGACTTCCTTCCACGCAGGTTCACACAGCTTTGCTTCCTTCATGGTACCTCACCCAGAACACAGCAGAACAGGCTGAACGCTGGGGCCCCACTACATCAGCCTTTCCTTACAGACTCTAACTCTCTTCTCTCGACCCAGGAACCGCGGTTTCCAGGCGTAGCTAGACCTTGCCTTAACTCCTTTCCTGTTCTTACAACTGCACTGAAAAAAATCTGTTTTTAAACCACACTTTTGCTTCATCTCCTGTTTTCCTCCCAATTCCCAGCCCCCTTTCTAATTAAACAAGACCATAAAAAGGACAGCTGACACCATGTAGTGCCACAGGCTCCGTGCCAGGTTCTGTCCTAAGTGCTTGGCATACATGAGCTCATTTACCTCCTCTCAAGTCAAGGAATACATGTTGCTAGTACCCCCGAATTTACAGAAAAGGGAGCAGGAAGACAGAGACTGTAACTTGCCCGGGGTGCAGCCGGGACTCAGACGCCGGCGGTCTGGCAGCACGGTTCATGCTCTTAATTGCTCTCCGCCTCTCAAAACCACGCCATCCCTTCAGCCGTGCCGTCCATTTCAATGTGAACTTACTACCTGGTTTACTCGAGAGAGCCACAGTGACTTACGTAGCCATCTAATTCTTTCCTCTTACATGGGGACAGTTTATTATTACACTGTCAGAATGACGAAGTTTCTGTCTCATGAACGGTATTCCGGCCATCGGATCAAACCCATGTTTTTCTCCGAACTTTTAAAAACCTGCTTCACTGATCTGGTAGTGACACCTGCCAAGACTCTGTCCCTTCTTTGCCAGGTCAAACCACTCACCAATTGCTGAGCAATTATTATGTGACAGGGAGTCTATAAGGTTCGGTGGCACAGACAAAAGTGAGAAAGACGCAATTAATGAATGCCTTCCTGAAGGAACTACCAAGCTCCTGTCCCCTCACATTTTTCACCGCTGGTTTCAAGACGCACTTCCTGTGGGTAGATCGCTTCTTGCCATGAGACTTCTTCCCCTTGTCTTCTATTAGATATGAATTCCTCAAGTAAACTGTACTCTTGTTATATCCCAGACATGCTTACTTCCTCATTGTGTTACGGGAACAGTGCAGAATATATTACATTTACATATAATAAGAAATTATATTTTCCTTCTTCTGTTAAAACGTCAGGTTTACTTTAACATCCGTCTCTGCCGTGAAAGGTGACTGTCTGAAGCCACAG